CCCAAGCACTCGCGATTCCAACAATTAATGTCATTAATTGAAAGGGACAAGCTGATATCAATAATATTATTTTAATTGATGCTGAGTGATTTCACTAATTAATCACTTAGACTTTGTCATTTCCAAAAAAAGTCCACGGTTCATGAAATTTTATATTTAATTAGTGTTCTAATATCCAAGTAATGTTTTTTTTTCTCTATTATTTTTATCTATTTTATGTGGATAAAGTAATCCAAACAATACCCCTTTTTTTTCTCATGATATTTCTTGATTGTAGCATGGCATCCATGGTTCCCGTGGTTTAGACCATACCTTGAAGAAATTCATAAAAACAACCAAAGGCGTGGGGGCCAAGGCATGAGGCATGACCATCCAAAATTGTATAGCACTAAACACAATGATTAGGCAAATCTATTGTTTATGTTTTTCCATAATGCGAAGACCGCATGAGTGTCATGAAGACATTAATTACTTGTAGATGTCGCCATGTATTAATCATTATCATCATCTCTTATGAGGTTGGCTAAGAATGCATGGGTGGCCACACCCTTCATTCACATTCTAAACTGGTCCAAAGGCCTGAGCTATGCCAGGGGGTGTTGATAGTCCAAAGGCCGGTGCCGGGGAAGGGAGCTCGGGCCATGGGCGGGTGTACAGCCTAGCCTATCCTATCCTTAGAGTGAAAACACGTATAGAGGGATAGCTTTCCGAGCGCACATCACCCATATCAGGAAGGGGGTTCGCCTCATGGGCTCGGGTTCCTATCACTAGGGTCATATAGAGATGTAGAAAACATAATTAGCACTGTGATGATAATTATTTTTTAAAAATATTTTTTTATTTATAGATATATTAATATAATATTTTTATTTTTTAAAATTTATTTTTAATATAACATGTTAAAATAATCCAAAAACACTAAAAGTGTTAATTTTAAACCAAAAAACAAATATAAATTTTAAATAAGCTATATTTTGAATGTAATATCAAATTAGAGAATTTCCATTAACGCGTGGAAGGCATGTAACCTTTTCATTTTCAAAGCAATTGAAAAGGTGTCAAAAAAGCTTTATTTTTTTAAATAATATTTTTTTTATTTTGATAAAATAATACAGTTTTAAAAAAAATTATAAAATAACATAATTTATACATGTTAATATTAAAAAAAACTATATTTATATTTATAGCTTGTCACTTTTTTATAATTTTTTTTAAAATATCACAATTCTAAATAGTAACAAATTATAACTATTGTATTTTTCAATTGCAACACATGCCAAATTTATTATTTTATCAATTATATTTTAAACTATTATTTCTAAAATTTGATAATAAACAAAAATAGCACAAATTCTTTTGATTCCTTCCGTGTACAATCCCATTCAATGAATAATGATAATTAGCTGTAGTTTATAAAACTAATCTTAGACAACAACGTTTAATGACTTATCCACCAAGCCCAACAACTCGTCCAAGAGAAAAGCCCATTATTCTCTTTGAGAGGTCCGAAAAAATTGCAAAAAAGATTCAGAGTTGATAAAATAAATAAATAAATAATAATAATAATAAATAAACCTCTCAAAGTGCAACCAATCAATAATCAAAGGGAAAAAAGAGCAAGTGGCATGATGTATTTTAATCAATTCAGTATTTTACAAACTTATAATGATGGGAAAATTTATTCAGGTTCATATATGAATGGAAAATTACACATTGATCAGGAATAAAAAAAATTAACGTAAACATAAAATCCATTAATCTAGATTTTTAAATCAAAATAGTATTCAATCTTATATATAAATCTTCACTTATACTTGTTTAAATATAGGACAAAATATCTCTTTAATATATTTTTTTAATAAAAAAATACATCAAATCAACTAATAAAACACCCGTAATGTAAATATGATATAGTTTGGTCACCTAAAATTATAAGTTTTTAGTAGTAGGATAAGGATCTAACACGGTTGGATAGAGATTTATTTAAAATAGATTATGTGGATAATATAATATATATTTTTATAAACTAATATAGTATAGTTAGGTCTAATAAGAGGTTTCATCACATTAAACTAGCATAATAGTTATGAAAACAAAAAATTATAACGTTTGATTTAATTGTTAGATCAAATTCAAGTTTTTACAAGAGATTTTCAAGGTCTAATCATATAGAAAACTGTGGTTTATCCACTATATAGATAATCTAAAATGAGGCTTGAAAAATTATGCTTAACTAATTTTTTTTTAATTTTATTTGGATTTGTTTTGTTTTTTTAGATTTTATGTTATTTTTATTTTATGTTTTTAGATTTTAATTCTATTACCCAGGCATTATAAACTTTTTTAAGAGAAAGAATTTATGTGTTTTATTTTTAAAAAAGTAAATTGCAAATTTAAAATTCAAGCTTGCATCTCTTTTTGATCATCAAGTATTTTCAGTGCTTTATTGTTTTTGTGGCTTCGCCTACATCAAGGTCCCAATACGATGGGAAGGGAAAAAACCAACTGTATAAAAGATGAAAAGCCCATTACCTGTGTGAGAAAAAAAAAACAAAAACCAAAATAAAAATATTTTTACCATGTATCACCTTGCAAAATATTATTTATTATAATAACATTTTATTTCTTTATTTTTTTATTTAATTATTTAAAATTTTATTTATTAGAAATTAAACTTTATGATTTGTTTTGGTTTTCTTTTGAAGTAGTTATCCTATTTTTATAAACTAGATCGTGAATTTAATAGCTTAACCTAATTGACTTTTTTTTTATTGTATTTTTTATCAAAATTACAATCTTCAATATTGAATTAATTATGAATTAGGCTTCATGATGTTTCAATTTGATTTCTATGAGGTTATCTTAATCTTATAAACCAAGTTATGAGTTTTACGAGTTGATCTGTAATTTTTATTACATCCTTTTTTAAATTGATTTATTTTCTTTTTTTTTATCCCTTGACAATGGCTTGATTGTTAATTGAGTTTTGTAATTTATTTTGATTTATTTTCAATAAGGTTATTTTAATTTCGTGATCTAAGTCACGGCTTGAAAAATTAACTTGGGTTGATTCAAATTATTTTTTTAGTTTTTTATGAGATTATCTCAGTTTTATGATTTACGTTATGAGTTTGATGGGTTAACTTAATTTTTTTTCATCTTTAAACATTGAGTTTCTTGTTATTTGAACTTCATAATTTATTTTAATTTGTTTTTTATAGGATTATTCTCATCTCATAAACTAAGGTCATGAGTTTGATAGATTAAACCTAGTTATAGATGTAACAAGTTAACTCAGGTTGACTCATATCTTTTTTATTTTATTTTATTTTAAATAGATTTTTTTTTAATTTTATCATTTAATATTAAGTTGATTAAGAAATAAGCTTTAATTATTTTTTCCATTTGCTTTTTATAAGATTATAATGATTTCATAACTTGGGTTAATCTAATATGATATTATTTTAATATTTTAAAAAATAACATTATCTTAAATTTTTTTAGTTAAATAATATTTTTACTAATCATCTGAATTATTTTTGAATTCATCAAATTAATCAAATCACATTATAACAACCATCACATAATTTATTTATTTTTTTACTAAAGAATTGGTACTAATAATTTATAAATTTTTTACTTCAAATAAATTTCATCCGTCCATCTAGTGACGACCTAAACTATAGTCGAGTGAACGCTATGCAAGTAAAAAAAAGAAAAAAGGAAAAGAAAAAAAAATAATTGAAAAACAAAACAAAATAAAATTCAATGAATGAGAAAAGAAAAGGATGACAAAAAAGAATAGGTTGGAAAAAGGTAATATAGAAACCTATGCAAGCAGCGACAGATCAAAGGCAAAGAAAAAAAAGAAAAAAATGGAGCAAAAATTCCTTCAGAAACCAGATAAAAAAAAATAAATTCAACCAAGAGCATGCAAATGAGAATAAACCATAAAGATCACTAATTGGTTTTTTTTTCCCAAAATGAATTTTGCCTAAATCTTTAAACATTTCAGGTAACAAAATTTTAAATATTTTAAGCTATGGGTAATTCATATAATTACCCAAATTGTTTTCAGATAATTTGGATAAAACAATTCTGGTTATTTTTTTAATAAATTCTTAAAATTAATGGGCTTGTAATTTTTCTTGAACCTAATTTGGCTACTAAAACCTTTCCTTGTCCTAATTTTAGCTACTTAATTGTAACTGGTTTTCAGTTTTTTTAGGTTAAAAAAATTAATAGGGATGAATGGGTAAAAAAGAGGACAAATTATAAAAAACAAAACCCTAAACTTAATATTTTTTGAGTTTTCCATTTTATTTAGGATTTCATTGAAAATTAATGGAAATGCGGTAAAAATTCTCTCAATTCCTCTCATTTATCTATTAGTACACATGTTTTTCTAAGTTAGTAGAGAAAAACATAAAAATCTATAGAATTTTTATGGTAATTTCTATAGAATTCTTAATGGAACCCTAAGGGATACAGCCAAAAATTCATATTGCTTGGGGTAAGATTAGATATTTTTGGTTCATGAATATTTGTTTTTTCTTTCAATTTCAGCAATTATTTGTTTTTTATAATTTAGAAAAAAAATAACATGGTAAATTAAAAATATTAGTGAAATAGCATTGTTAAATTTTTTGGTGAAGTAACACAATTTATACATATTACAATTAAACAACACTATTTTTATATATAATAACTTTCAATACAAAATATGAAATAGATAGGAAAGAAAAAAAACTCTAGAGACAAATTAAATATCTTATTACGATAATATTAATAATATTAATTTTTTTAATAAAATAATTAATTAATAAAAAAATTATCAATAATAATAATTCGAGTAAGACATGTTTACTATCAAAAATAAATAAATCACTTGCTAACTTTGAACGATAATTATAACTCTAGCCAAGTCACCGTTATTAATTTATTTTTGGTATAGTTGGATCGGTCTCTATTGTTTTTTACTCTCTTCTTTCACAAATTAACTAGACACCAACTTGCTCTAAATGGCTCTCTCATTCCCCACCTGTCTCAGAAGGTGGCTCTTCGACTTCACAACTGTAACCCATTTCATTCTCATCATTTTTGCGTGCAATGATCCTCCCCAGGTTTTATGGGCTCTTCTTTTTTCTTTCTTTTATGGTATAATTTCTTTTCTTTTTTCGGTGCAGTTTTTAGTCCTTAAATAAACATGATAATTTGACCAAAAGTTTACTTCTTTTTTAAAATTTTGGTTTGTTGATTTTTGCTAATTTGTATTGATGGGTTCTGAATGTTTTGTTTGATTAGCTCTTCAGTGATAGTTATGTTATCTGGGTTTGATTTTTGTTGGATTAAAACAAGAAAGATGGGACTTTTTTTGTTAAGTTCTGACTGGTTTTGGAGGTTAAGGGAGAGTAGTTCGAGGATCATTCACGCAAAAATGATGTGAATAATGGGTTATTATGTGAAAAAATGATCTCGTTATTGAAGGATAACCAGAGCTTAAGAGGGTCCTTGTTACAAAAGGTTCTTATTAAGGTATGGTCCTTCTATCCTCTCAGAAAGTATACCCTTTTCATATAAAATTTCATTTCCTTTTGGATTTTTAATGATAGTTACCTTTTATTAGATTCTGGTGCGCAAAGTTGTCTGTACTGTTTTTCTTTTTGTTTACTCACTTAGTTAACAAGCATGAGTTCTGTGTTTTGTATGTAATGCTTTTTGTAAAAACATTTCTGTGTCTGGCTATTCCTCTGTTGTGTGTTTCTGTTTTCTTTTCTGGCAACAATATGCTTGTTGTCTACATAGGGAGGTGTAAGTTGGGATCCTTACAATTCATTTTAAAGGCTATCCATATTTGGAGCACCTTTACAAGGAGCAAATTCTTTCTGGATCTTAGTAACAGTCATACAGGTGTAGGGGTGGGGCGCACCCTACATTTATGATTGAAATGTGTATGTTGATTTGATTCTTTCTTCATCTTCAGTCTCTCTGGCTGTCGTTTGAAATTTTGATAATAGAATTAATCGGATGAGACCGCGTCTTGATATTGAAAATATTTATGGATTATTGGTCATTATTACCTCGGTATCTTATAAGAATTGGGTGCTTCATATATAGCATCTATAAAAATCTGTGGCTTGTAGCTATTGCCCCATGTAAGTTAAATGGGGAACCAAGATTCATGTAATTCAAATGGCTATTTGGCTGTGGATCTTCTGTTATGAGCAGTTTTTCTGTTTGCTTCTGCTTTTGGAGGTCGTTTGCTGGCTGTTTTGGAGGAAAAATGAAGGTGTTTAAGAGTTGTCTTCTTTTCCTTATCATAATGTGGTAATAGACTAATAGTTGCTTTATAAGAACACGTTTCTTATCTTTTTGATGTTGACACATTAGAAGAAGGCGTTTATTTCTTCACCACAAAAATGATGCATTGGTTATGATTTTGACATGTGGCATTTAGTTCTGCTCGCTTGGCTAAAGGATATTCCAAACACTGTTTTAGTTCATTTTTTCATTTTCTCCCATTCCAAAGATCCCGCATGGCTACGTTTCACAGCTTTGCTGCACTACTTGAGGTTTCTCTCAGCCAGCTAGTTATCTTCCATAGTAGATTTATAGTTTTTGTAATGCCTGTTTATTTGGTGGTTCTTTCATAGGACTGCCATAATTTATTATATTTTGGTTGATTTTTCTATGCCTCTTTTATGTCCCACAAGATTTTTAAAGCTAAAGGGTTTCTTGTGTGCTTAGCTGAATTAGGTGTGCATAATCTCTCAGACATGCCAGTGGTCAAAATATCTCATGTCGTACTACACTGGTAAACTCTATTCTTCAATGCTTGCGTTCAATTTTAGGATTCAGTTGTTAATTTTCCTTACTGTTTTCGCTGTGATAGGGCCATTGTCAGTTGCAGTTTCAAGAACTAGTTGGTAGCTTTGGATTGAAACATTTTCTATTTACCACACAATTAATTTACTTTTGACACATCAGAGGTTCCATGAAGAATTGTGCGCCCGCGTGCATGCCAGTGTTGTGTTTCTAGGAAATTTTATGCAACTCTCATTAAATTTTATGTATAGACGATGGATCATTTAATTTAAAGAAGAGACTAAATATTTGCGAAAATAGTCTCAATTGGATGTCTGATCCTTCCAAAGAGAGGGAATTTCATTTATGCCAAATACTTGATTTTGATCAGTCAATCAATCAATGCCTTACCACATTTGTTTTGTCATTTTTTCATGGCTTTTCTTATTTGTCTGGCTTTGGAGATGCAAAGGACAATAGCAAATTAAACTGATCAGATGCAGAAGTATAGAGATGACAAGATTTTGAAAGACGACTACTGGTGAAGAATAACAAAGAAGTCCAGAGTTTTTGGAGAGATCTGATAAGTAGGTTTATATGTTAGTTTTTGCATGCAGGCCAGGCTCCAAGCTTCTCTCCTTGAGTGGGTTTATGTGTTTGATCTATGTCCGAAGGGGTTCAGCATTGAGTGGGTTTATGTGTTTGATCTATGTCCGAAGGTGTTCAGCAGAGGCCAATCTTGACAACTTTCTAGTTTGGCAATTGTTTTAAGCGGTGGCTGTAGATTTCGGGCCATGAACAGGTTTCTTTTTCCGGGTGGTGTTTATGGCGGGGCAGCTCAATGTGCTCCCCGATGGCCAGGATGCCTTAGGCACACATTCCCCAACGACGTTCTTCTTTGGGCCATTTTATGTGAATGGAATTGCAAATCACTTTCAGTGAATGAAACACTGTTGGGTTTGCTTGCTGTTTTGCCACAATCCTCATTCAAACACGCACATTGGATTGAATTCATGTCCTTGTCAACCCTTTTTGAGTAGGCTTTGATCATAGCCAGCGAAAACTGTGATTCACTATGTAAATCTTCTGTTTTCTTTATTTTCAATAATTTGACGTTCACCGATTTTGAATGCTTCATATCTTATTTTGTTACCCCCCCCAACCCAAAAAAAATGAAAAAAAGAAGCATTTTCGAATTTGTAAATTGTAATGATATCTCAAACCGAAAAATAATACTACCAGTGAACACTAAACTCATGTTTTTTAATTTTTGTAATTTTTTAATGTTATTTTTATTATTTTAATCTATTGTTATCAAAAATAAAAAAATTATTTTAATATATTTTTAAGTAAATAAAATTTTAAAAAACAACATTTACTACATTCACTGCTGCTCATGTCTTGGATAATTAATTAATTTCTTGATTTTAATAATTTAATTTATTTTTTCTAACCAAAAAGGCTAGTATATGATAAGTCAAAGTGGTTGGTGGTTAATATCTTTAAAAGATTTTTTTTTGGATAAATTTAAAGACTTTTTGATATTTAAATAAATATTTTTTTTTTGAGAAAATACCATAATATTTTAGAGAGATTCAAAAAATAAATATATAGTTAATAATAAAGACTAAAAATCCTTTTATTAGAAGGATTCATAGTTTTTTAATTTCCTATAAATCTTGCTAAATGTTTTTTAGAAGAAAGGTTGTAATATCTTCTTGCTCTAATAACATTGAAAATGAATAAAATATTCCTTATAAATATTATTAGTGAAATATAAGCATCTCTTGTATATCATTAATGAAAAATAAATCAAGTTCTTTTAAAGATTTTTATATATTTAGAGATATAAAAAGATAAGTATTTTTTTATTTTAATTTTCGATGTTAAAGATCATAATAAAAAAATAATAATTTTGTGGTTCAATAAAGAGCCTAAAAAAATCATTAGTTTTATATTTATTTGAGCTTGATATTAAACCTAAAAATAATAAATATATTAATTTTTTAAATTTATATTTACTTAGAGCATACAACTGATGTTAGATCTAATAATCAAATAATATATAATATATGGTCCGATGAATTGATAGATACATATATACTGCTGGCCCAAAGATATTAATTCTTCACCATGTCTTGTTTTTATTCTTTTTTAAATATGAAATTCAGATAAAAATAACATGCATAAAACAAGATGATACATCAACTTGGTGGTTATGATTTTTATTAGAAATTCAAAAGAAAACAGCTTCCCTCAAACGTGCTGCAGAGTTGATTAAATGCAGCTTTTGATACAGTTGTCTTCCCTATTCCCGCATGCCCACAACAGGAACATCATTTGTATCCATTCATAGTGATGTTATTTACATGGTAATCAATACCTACTAGGTGCTTAGTAACATTTAAGCGTTTGGGTTACAATTTATCCAACACATTTTCAACGATCTTTTGGATAAATCTTGATTCATTTTAAATAAAAATAAAAAATAAAAATGTTATAATTCAAACTCATAACTATTTAATTTTAATATCATATAAATTTTTATTATTCTTTCAACTCAAAAGTTTAATCTTTAAATCCTAAAATGTTATATAATCCTTTAACGAGGTAAGATTCTGTTTCTGTTTTCGAACACTGGAGTATCAATATCATACAATACAGGAAACACAATCTGCCCTTCTGCACGTTTTCAATCCATAATCTTTACCAGTTCATCAAGACACCATGCGGAGGAAGTATAGCTTTCGGAGAAGATCACTATGGAATCCTCGACTCCTGAATTGCCTTAAGGAGTTGTGAAGAATATCTTCTCCTCTGGGAAGTTCATTATCGTCCTGAAAGGTATGAATTCATGCTTTGACTAAGGCAATATAAAGATGATCTGTAAGATTCTTAATTATCTTCTCCTAAAACTCAAGATATCATAAGTATATCCAATTCTAGAGGAGGAAGAAGATGATTTGTATTTGGACTGGAACAAACATTTTGCTGTGGAAGGCACTATTCAGCAATTCAGGAAATGGGGTTCTTTCTCGCAATAAACTAGCAGAGCACATGAAGAAACAAAACATATATGTGAAGAACGCTTAATAACAACACTGGAATAGCATAGAGCAGCATTGTAAAACAATTAAAAATAATGCAAGAAACTCTCGCGCTCTGCTCTGTTCAGCGAAAGATGACCTCTATTTATATTCATTATAGTACACTTAAAAGAGAATGAATTACAGCTATGTCGTCTATCAATTTCAGCTAAGGAATATACATGAAAGGCAAGTATTTAACTCTTGTAATCAAGGTGTAATTTCATCTGCTAATTTGCCGTAATTTGTAATCGCATGTTTTGCCACAGACATAGCACTATGATCCACAAATTGTATTTCCATAATATGCCCTTTCAAGATTAACGGGGATGAAGTCACGTTAAACTTGTCTTTGAGGAAGGCAAATTAGGTAGACACAATTGGTTTAGTGAGCTCATCAGCAAATTGATCTTTACTAGAGATAAAGCGCACATCAAGAGTTTTCTGTTGAACTTTTTCCCTAACAAAATGATAGTCGATCTCCACGTGCTTAGTGAGTATATGGAACACTAGATTGGCTGTGAGATATATGGCACTGATGTTGTCACACCATAGTATTGGACATTGGACTAAAGCAATACTAATTTCACGTAGCAAGGATTGCACCCAAAGAGATTCAGTAGTGGCATGAGCAACTGCACGGTACTCAGCTTCAATGCTAGAATATGCCACGGTTTGTTGCTTTTTGGAGCTCCATGAGATTAAGTTGTCACCAAGATATAGGTAGAAATCTGAGGTGGATTTTCGATTATCTGGACAGCCTGCCCAGTCAGCATCGGAGTAGATAGAGAGCTGTGTGGAGGTGCTTGGCTTAATAAATAACCCAAAATGAATTGAAAACTTGAGATATCATAGGATTCTCTTCATAGCTGTCCAGTGTTCATCAGTAGGTTGGTGCATGATTTGACAGACTTTGTTAACTGCAAAGGAAATATCTGGTCAAGTTAGAGACAAATATTGTAATGCTCCTACTACATTGCGGTAATTGGAGGGATCTGAATAAGGTGCACCCAAGACCAATGATATTTTCTGAGAAGATGATATTGGTGAAGAGACTGGTTTTGCATCCACCATATTTGTGCACTGGAGAAGGTTAAAGATATACTAGTTTTGCGAGAGTAGAAGACCGTCAGCCAGCTAATGTGCTTCCATGCCTAGAAAATATTTGAGGTGACCAAGATCTTTAACAGCAAATTCATGAATGAGATTGGTTATTAGTTAGGAGATAGCAAGTGGATTTGATCCAGTGATTAGGATATCATCGACATAAACAAGGAGGAATAATAAAGCTGAACCATGTCTGTAGATGAAGAGAGAAGTGTCGGAGCACAAGTTCACAAAACCAAGAGAGAGTAAGTGCTCTTGTAGTCGATGGTACTAGGATCGTGGAGCCTGTTTTAGGTCGTAGAAGGCCTTATGTAGTCTGCAAATATGATTGGGAAATCAAGGATGAACATAACCGAGGGGTTGGTGCATGTAAACCTTTTCAGATAAGTTGGCGTGAAGAAAGGTGTTTTGTATGTCAATCTAATGTATCGGCTACTGATTGGAGACATCATAGTTGAGCATAATGTGGATGGTAGTAGGTTTTACCACAAAGATGAACGTATCATCGAACTCAATTCTTGGTTGTTGATGATAAGCCTTGGCGACAAGTCTCGCCTTTCTTCGTTCAAAAGAGCCATCAGACTTGCGTTTGGATTTGAAAATCCACATGGAGTCGACTACATTGAGACCAAGAGTGGCAGGGATTAAGGACCATGTGCCATTTCTCATGAGTGTAGTGAATTCTTCATCCATCGCTGCACGCCATTCATGATGTTTTGAAGCTTCTAAATAACAGGTTGGTGATTCTGGAATGGTACCTGTTACAAGAAAAGTTTGTGACAGGGGATACCTGACAGTTTCATCAGGATTCTTTTTTGGTTTTACAATATTATTTTGAGATCGTGTGATCATCTGATGAGGACGCTGCGAGGGGAGTTCTGCAGCAACTGATATGTGTTGGGTTGGCTGTAGTGTGGGAGTAGAGTCGTTGGGAAGGGTGTAGAAATTTATGTCTATTGGAGATATGTTTTGGGAAGGAGCAAGGACTGAAGAGGATGAAGAGAATGGTTGAGAATAGAAAGAAGGTGTTGTTGGTGGTAATGAAGCTGGTGTCGAGGTATGATTGATATTGTTTCTTAAAAGAGAGGTGGGTAGAGTTGTATATGAGGTGGATGGAGGTTGAGGTGGGGATGTTTTTGAATTAATAAAGGGAAAAGATCCTTCATTGAACATCACATGTCTTGAGACAAATACCTTCCTAGTGGATGTATCAAGACATTTGAATCCACGGTGACAATTGCTATAATCAAGGAAGAAGTAACGTTTAGATCGAAAGTCAAGTTTGTTGCGATTAAAAGGACGAAGAAAAGGAAAATATGGACATCCAAAAATTTTTAAGGATGAAAAATCAGGAACATGATTGTAGAGTTTTTCAAATGATGACATGCCAAGGGGGGAGGGAAGAAGGCGATTAATAAGATATATGGCCATGAGAAAAGCATTATCCTAATAATTATGAGGAACATGACTGTAAGATAAGAGG